ATTTTTGAGGGTCATGTCTTCGACTAGATATGAATTGTGATCTTATGACATATCGTTGAAAGAAATATTTTCGTTGAGAGATGAGAAAAAGTGGTAACAGACACAAAAAAAAACACATCATAGTAAAACCAATACCTTCTCAGCTTCTCATCGAAGCTAAAAAAAAAAAAAAACCTCTGGATTTGTTTTCATAGTGAAAACGACTATCGTATTTAAAAATATGCTATTTTTGTGTTAAAATTCTGGGTTTTGTATTTTATTTTATTTTAAAATAACTGACAAGGGAGTATACTGATTTTCATAAATATTATATAAATCAAATTGATATACCACAGAAAGTTAAACTTATTTAATTTTTTTTTGATTTTTTCAAGTAAAAAAAAAATAAATTTGAAATTCGAACTAGCTTAATTAAATTGCCATTTTTTTCAATCGACGGAAGAGACGTGAGGTTTGCCTAGTCAGTAAAACTTGTGTCTTACGCACTTGGTGTACTAGGCTTCAATCCGTGCATGGCAAGGAATTTTTTGAATTTTTTGAATTTTTTTCTTAATTCTTTTTAAGTTAGAATAAATTTTCAACTGCTTTGATTTTTATTTCATTTAGATTCAATAACTTCAATAAAGATCAAGGATCCCATCACTGTAATCGCCACTCGCGAGAAGAAATTTTTTATTCATATTAAAATTATTTTACTATATTTTAGCTTCGATGCAAAGCTGAGAAAATATTTTTTTGTGACTATCATTTATTTTCTTTGCTCTAACTTGACCTACTTTTTTCAACGATACATCATATGATTACTATTCGTATCTAGTTGAACATATTACCCTCAAAAATTAAAAAAAAATTCTAATTTATCAATTAAACAGTTACTTATCCCATATACTCCATACAGACAATTAAAATTCAAAAAGTTAAAAAAATTTTTAAAAAATCATTCATTTATAATGTTTTCAAAATATTTATTGACGAATTAAGATTGATATAATAGGTTTCAACTACAAAATTAAATCATTTTACTTAGTAATTTTATAATTTTTTTACTCTATTTGTGTGTGCTACTACTAGACTATAATATTCCAAATTTTTTGGTAACATGTTGCTATATAAATAATTTCTAAAAAAAAATTATTGTTAGTTTCTCCTGAATTAATGATAGATTTTTAGATCTTTTTAACAACTATTTTTTTATTAGTTTTTTTAATTAAAGTAATTCATCAAAATTAATTCAGTTTATATTTTAACTGTAAAATCCTTTTAAACACCAAAAGTTACTAGGAAATGATTACTATTATTTCTATTTAAGTAATCTATTACGATAAACATGCAAAAAAATATTGAGCTTTTCTGATAAATTTACTATAAATAGTTATTATAAAATTTCCTGATTGTATATTAACCCTTAAACAGTCGCGTGGGGGTCTAGTATAAATAAAAACGGATATATTATATTGCATAAAAGGTGTACATAGATATAAATTTAGAAGATGGTTTTTATAGTAATATTGAATAGATTTTCATAAATAAATACCTTCGAAAAAAAAATGTATGACTTAAAATATCCATCAAAGTTGAAATGAGTCATATTGACCCCCACGCGACTTGTAACGTTATAATTTTTTTTTGGACTTGTACTTTTTTCAAAATATCGTTTTATCGTAAATGCAATGTTATAATCGATATAATATTGTGGAATTGGGATTATGTGGATCTGCCACCAACTGTGCAATTAAGTTTTAAAAATAAATAATCTATTGAGAATTTCCACTACTTGATGATACGGAACAAATACGAACAAAACATGTAATAAATACATCCCGTCGCAATGTGGACACATTGATTATCGGTGCCTCATTTACAATTACCACTATTCACATTTACCCCTCCTGACCCTACTCGTATTATAATAATTAAATTGTATTGTAATATTAATAATAAAAAAATTCAATTCAGAAAAATGATTATGTAAATGTAAATACACATAAAACTAGTAAATATAAGCCGTGTTTGAGCTCAAAGAAATACAAAAAAAATTAATAAAAATACATTTTGTAATAGTAATAGCTTTTATTTACCGTCTTAAAAATAAGATTTCGTAGTTAAAATAATTCTTTTTACAAACCAAAATTTTTTAATGAAATTTTGAAAATTAAGTTTTTTTTTCGTAATATAATTTTTAGTAATGCACATAATTTTGTAATTTAATGATTATTTAATTTTTATCCATATTTATATATCATATGGTAACAAATAATGTCTTTGAGTTAAAAAAAATGAACTTTTTTATACATACTTTATACTTTTTTAGAAATGGGGTCTAATAGACCCCCACGCGACTATGAACGTTAAAAATAAGTACGCGCCTGCTTAAGGGTTAATCTTTACAATTTCATTTTTTCCTATTTAATGATGTCAATTTTAAACTTGTAAGTTAAGCTAAAAGTTATGGCAATAAATTCATTTTTATTTTTTTTTACAAAATTTCACTTTAAAGGACGAAAAAAAGCAATTTAAAAATTATTACTTTTAATATATTAAAAATAAAAATCAATAATAATTTGATAAGAATTAATTATAAACATTATATAATATATAATTAAAAAATATATATTATATTTTTGAATCTAAGAATTACTAATATAGATATAATTAAGGAAATAGAAGATGATATTGCTTTTGTAATTATCCACCAATTTCATAAAATTAAATAATATCTACAGATTTGCATCGAAGAGTTCCTTATGTTAGTGATTTTAATCACTGTCAGATTAAATTTATACTGGACTCAACTATGCCACGTCATCACTGTTCCGCGACCCCACTATGCTGTGTTTTTAATTCAGAAATTTAGATATAACTTTAAAATCAGTGGCGCATTTACGAATGTCCTTTGGGTCAAGGCCCACCTATGGATATAAAAGGAAGTTGTGAAGAGATGAAGCTACCTGCCACTCTTAAGTTCTATAATAAGCTGATATCACTGATATCTGTACAGAAATAAAATCACGTCTTATGTACTGCATCAATCAAATCACAAACGTTTAGAATTTGTATACCTTTTAGATTTTAGAGCTATTTTAGTATTCAAGGTGTAAAAAAGATGTTTGTTGCTCTTTTATGTGTATTTTAAACAATTGCAAATACTTGGGCATTCATTGTCTCATTTATCACACTACTATGAGCGTATTCGACATACTAAATGCATGTATAACATTATTCTTTAAGTGTCATTTTCATCATTGTTTTATAATTAAAGTTTTCATTACTTATTTTTTAAATTTTTTAGTATACTTAATATTTTTATATTAAGAAATATTTTTAGCGAGTGAGACTCGCTAATAGTATTTATTGTTCAATTATAATATAATATTATATTATAATAATAATTATATAATAATAATAATAATAATAATAATATTATAAAATATAATATAAATCATTTTTAACAACCATTTTTATAAATAATTAATAAGAATGTTACATTTGTCATTGAAAAATAATAAATCAAATTATTATGATTTTTATATTTATTATTATTAAGTAGTTTTATATAAAAACAATCATCAAAAGTATAACCAGAATATCCAATTGTAACAATATTACTAACGTCAATATTTTACGTTTATAATTATTACCTTCTGACATTGTTAATCTAACTATAAATTCGATTATTTAATTAAATAAGTTGATTTCGCGAAGATCATGTGAAATTACTAATGTTTCCATGATCATAAATGAAAAATATTTGTCGGTTTCTTTTCATAATGTCCATAAAAGTAAAAGATTTTAAAGCCTCAAAATGAGTATTACTATTATTATTATTACTTTCGTCATTATACTTAAATTTCGCTTTAAAGAGCCATGCACTAGTTTAAAATTGACCTTACCCTTAACATATTTAGACTGAACTGAATAATGTAAATAATATTACAATAAATTATCATGAACAATATTTCATGAGAACTTACTTGGTAAGAAAAAATAACATATTGCTGTTATTCGCTGCGTTTATTTAAATTATGAAAATATCATACGGCAATTTAGTATTTGTTTTTTTTATAAGAGCCTAATATTCCAGTTTAAAATATGAGTTTTCAGTATAAAGTATGCGTAACGTCATATACTGTATTATTAATAAGTAATGTTGGATCTAGCTGCTTACAATAGTCAGCAACACAATTATTTACATTAACCTCATTCTTATAGTTTTCTCGGGTTTACCAATAATAACATTATTATTAAAATTAACTGTTAATTTCGATTCTAGACAAGAAAACGGTTTCAAAGAAAATATAAATTTCCATGGATTGCTTGTTTTTTTGACTAAAAACAAAAATTATATCACAGTGACGACTTTTAATAAATTGAAATGGTCGAGTGTTATTACTTGTCATTCGGGTTACAAAACGACGTAAGTATACATTATTCGTTTAGAAATCTTATTAAAAACAGGTTGATGTACTCAAACACAAATTATATCTAAAAACATTTGTTTTTGACGTATTCTGCAATATTACAATAAAAATTGCATTGGGAATAACTTATGTGTATGTATATTTTTTGTTAAAAATTGTTTAATTTTTAAAAAAGGATATTCAATATATTACCATAACAATGAGCGTAGTAACTACCAATACTTATATAAACATACTTTGATTTATTATTATTACAAATATTTCTTTTGTATAGCGAGTGAACACTTAGAAATGGACAAATTTAACTAAAACTTTGCATAATACAAAAATACTTATTCATATTCTATTAAAAAATTTAACTTTTCTAATAATACCTATAAGATGTCATTTAAAACTCTCTTAGAAATTTTCAGAAATTTTTTTCTTAAATATTAGCTTTTGTAAGCTTTAGAATAATAATTTTCACTCTCCAATTAATTTCTATGACAACAATAAAAGTCGTCTCATAAAAAGCATCGTAAACAATTAAAAAATGTTAAGTATTAATAATATTTACTAAAAATGTTTATAAATATCAATTACCTAGTATTTGCTTTGTCAGTGCTGGTTTTTCAAAATGTTTCATTCATTAAATTGGTTAGTTTGTTTTGTGTGAAAGTTAAACAAAATAGTAGTATTTTATTTCTCTGTAGACTAATCCAGTATAGATGTTGTGGGTAGGAGGGAGTAATGAGATATTAACGGCCAAGAAGATTTGAAATAAAAATGATAATTGATTATGAGACACGGAGGAAAAGCGCATGCGCAAAACAACAGGAGATTCCGACCGTTTTGTTCCTCGGAGTGCGAGACGCTGCCGTCGCTACAGTTGCGCCCGCTATCGTCGGTGGCAGCGTGCGCACGTTTTTCGCATCCGCCAGTTGCGACCAGTGTGCGATCGACTGAGCGGTGCAATGGACGCTTTGACCGAAACTCCAGTGGTACCCCTTGCGACGACGGCCGAGGGCGAGCTTTCAGCCGTGTTGAACAGAAGACAGCAAATCAACGAAGCTTTGGAAGACGGAAAACCGGTGGTGCGCCAATTCAACCGGCGAGTGCCTACCAAAAACGTTTATTTAGAGTTCAAAGAGTTTTCCCGAAAACAGATCAATGAGTACGAAACTACGTTTAAAAAGTGAGTGGCCCGACTGCTGGTAGTATTGTTATTTGGGGCGTTGTTCACCTTCCGTCTCTAAAAAACTAGCAATAAAATTCGCCAACATCGATTTCCAAGTTGTGCACGCGACCATTTGTTTTTGACATATTGTTTTTTTATTAATACTACGTATGATAAATAATTAATACATTTGTTGACTTTGTAAACTAATAAACTAGGTTTCTGTTATAATTTCTTAGGCCTTGTTAAATACAAATCCAAAATGTTCGTGTAATGCTTCAAAGAGTTAATACACCATAAATTTAACAAGTAATTTTTCTCGCCAATTAAAATGTTAGATTGTATTGTATGTAAATAAGCCGTAACGTTTTATTATTTTGTTTCATTGCCTAAAGAAAGTTCGTCCGAACGGTCTATTTTTAATGATTAATATTAGTTAATTTACAACCGTGTAAACCATAACGCATTACTTAGTGCGCAAGAAAAATACAAAATAAATAATTCGAATGGTAACGTTATCTTAAGAATGGTTTGAGGCGTGAAAATATTTGATTTTCCTTGATTTGTTCAAGTGCTAATACTAAACCGACCAAAACGTAATCGGAGTTCCCGATGTGTTATCGTTTCAGAATTGTGACAGTGCACAAGAGGTCATTGAACAAGTTTAAAAATCACGATTTTTGATAAGATATTAAAACAAATAATGTTAATCTCCATTTATTTCATAATGCTGCTAGTGTTTTTTAGCAATACAACTCCACATCACCATAAAATTTTTTATGAAAACATTATGTATACCTAATCAGTTATCATTGCATAAAACGAGCGATCGCGTTTTTTGTTAATATTAATTCAAGGTTATCAACAAGAAAACGGCGCTATGTGATCATACTAGCGGCAATTTTAAGACTTGAGTGTTCTTTTCCTTAAAATATCATAGGTCTAAATCCGTTACTTCCGGCTTAACTTAAGATGAAACGAGTTCGGACGTTAACTGTTAAAAAATCTATTCAGGGCACGTTTGTTGTTTTGTTGAGATTTCCTCGCCTATTCATAGTATATCGCACAATTAATGAAACTTGATTCGTTGACTTGGCTTTATGTTCGTGCGATAATTGGTATTTGTATGATCATGTGGCATAAGAATTCCAGTATACGCTGTTATGGTCGATTCCATTTGACTTAAACGAGAATATCGTCCAGAAACAATTAGTACGTTTAACAGAAATGTAATAATGATTGCTGTGGTTTCTATAGTTATTTGATTCGCAAGAATGTTTTCTAATAATATATTTTGTGCGGAAACTCATTCAATTATTATTATTTTTTATTTGGCGAAGGATTTATGTCGGCCAAGTCACGAACTGTCCACATTCACCTCCGCTGAATTTCCATAAACGTATGTAAGCGTTTGCTATGTATAGACATCTTGTGATAACACAAATGAACTTATAAAGCTTTATCTCGTTACTATAATTAGTTTTATTGTTGTTACTATATTTTACAGCGCTATTGGACATGACGATTGCGTAGGCAGTGTATCGACGGAAGTTTGAATAGGCCTCTGGAAATGGTAACCAGCTTAATGACTTAAAATGCATTATGTAATAATTAGAAATTGTCGTGTTAAGTATGCATTGTAAGTTACGAAATGTTCGCAACTGATTTCTGACCACAGCGGTGTTTATGGTGTTGATTGTAACATATAGCCAATTTAGGTACTTAGATCAATGTCCATGTTTATCTAAACGCTAATTGTTCATTGAGTTGTAAGCGTCTCAATACGCTTTACGTTATGTTTTACGATACCGAACGTTTTATTTGCCATTAGCTAATTATTGAATGGATCAACTCTTTCCTGTAGCATATAATAGTTTTCGATTACTCTCAGAGAAATTTATTTAAAATACGATTTATATGATTTCGGTTGTTCAATAGTGTTTCTTAACAAATGAATTAAATTAACTCGCGCTTGTTTATGTGTTAAAATATTCATTAACTTTAATTTAATTAAGTTCAAATCAATTATAATTCTTTATTCCGTCGGATAGTATTCTTCGGTATCTGAATTCATGACTATCAAATATAATGTAATATTATTTTTAGTTATTTGTTATGATTTTATTGTGGCGTAGTGATGCGTTGAGAGTTCTGTGTGTAAAAAGCTATCGCGGAACGGTTATAAACAAATTAATAAACGTCGCGACGTCCGGCTGATAGTGATTTTACATGCGCGCTCCGTGTTTATTAAATCAACAACAATTATAATCAATAATTAAACGTCTCAATTTTACCGAAAAATATGTTTTAAACAAGTTGTAAACGCACACTTTTAATTGAATTGATTAAATTTGATAGAGTTATTTTTACACAAACATAAATCTTAATTATTGGAGAAATTCTAAAACCTTGGTTTTATTGCCACTTGAAAAGTTTCTAATCTTTCTTTCCTTTTACTTTGACTTAGTAAATTTTCTGTTTTTCCATGAAGTTTATTCTATTTACTATTTTGTCTATTAAATGGGACTCGTGAGATGTTTTTTATTAACTTCCCATTGTCTTTACATATCTTTACATTTTCTTACACCATCAAATAATTTATGTTTATCTTTAACATATTCGTTACAAATTTAGTATTGGAAATCTAATACTGAATGGTGTCATAGGCAGCGATAATTTCATAGTAAATATTGTCTTGGTTGTTGACATAAAATTCTTATTACTTCAAACAATACATTGGGTAATACTTTGGCGTATTTGTTTAAAGACCTTAAATACGAGTCATTAAAATTATTTATTTCAATATAAATTATCAACTCACAAATCTATTATAATAAAGTTAAAAAATTAAATAAAATTATGTGATTACAGTCTAAAAATACTTGGTAAATGCACTGTGTTTATTCTTCTTAATGGCAATTTTCTTTGCGATAAGAGCTGATTTAATAAGTACTTGAATATTTTACTGATACGTAAGAAAAGGTCATACTATTATTATTATATAATTATTTATTGCCCGATGTTTATGACTTACCAATAAAACAATAAACAAAACTATTTACAAATCTATTGCTAAGAAAAATATTTTTTAATAAACGACAGCTCTGTTTTTTTGTTTATAATATTAACAAATGACATTTAATTAATATTTATGTTTAACAGATTTATTGAAAAATGTAAACTTTTTTAGACAACCATAATTTGTCAAATATGTCGTGGTAGTCATTAAATAAAAATAACATGCCCATATTCGGATATGTTTGCTTAGTAAAACACTTTTTTTTTTGAAAACGTTCCAAAAAATCTTCATTAGAATATCTGGTATCTGGATAAATTGTTGGTTTTTGGTTAGATACTCACATTTAAGACTTTTGTTGACGTTATTGATCAAAATACATTTTTTTATGTAATAATGCTAAAACAATTATTTATAATAAAAGGACTAAGTCTTCTCAAGAATCCTAATGTTCGCCTATGCTTCACTAAACAATTTGTTCGTTTTAACATGAAATTCTTTTTTATATTGATTTCTAATTAAAAAACTTAAGTATCGAATCAAATAAGTCATAAATAAGTAAAAATTATATATATATATATATAAAAATACAGAGTGTATAGTTATACTATTGGAATCATTTCTGTCTCTTAAGTAGCTGCTGCAAGATTAGTTTAATTATCTTATCGCGCAGAGTATTTTTTGTTGTCATAAAACAGATTTGTTTTAATATTTTAATTAAATTACACGGTTTTTTCACTTGCAACTACGATTTTCTTTTATCCTCGTGTCGCTAAGTTTTTTTGTTGTTCATTGCATCAGATTATATTGCTGAAGTGCAGCAGCACTGTTTTCTTTTTAATCCAATACTTCTTCGTCTGTGCTATAATACGTGTGAGCTTAACTGATGTGGTAACTAGCAAGACTTAAAGTATCAACAATGAAAGGGAAGTAAAGTATTATTCCTAAAAACAATAGGTGAAAATTGATATGTATAACAATAAAAATCGCGTTTTGTACTAATCATTAAAATGTACCATAGTACAGATACCGCGTATCATGTAAAAACTGGTTATAATTTGCATTTTCACCTTCTTATTATCGATTATTATTTCAGTCACAGATTTTCAAATTTAATTGATCCAAAAAGTGAAACAATATCCGCTTATTCAATAAATCAAGATTTCTCCAGACATTAATTTATTATTTGAATACCGATAATTTAAGAAAGTAATTTATTAAGAAGTATTAAGAATGTATTCCTGACTAATGGTTATGTAATAATAAACAACATATTTGAAGATTAAATTAAAAATTATATTTTATCAGATACTAATTTTTCATAGAATATTATTTTTTTTGTATATTTCCTCGGTAAAGAATTCTTCTTGTGGTATTTTGTTTGATATATTGGGATTTAACATTTTTCTTGGCTCAGTTTTTTATTATGAAGTTTAATAAAAAATTAACCTTAATTATTTTAAAATAAATTTCTTTAGAAAAAGTCAGATGTGTCTTATAATTTATACAAGTATACATTACGTATTCTATAATTACTTATAGTATTTTGATCCTCTTTTGGAACTGAAGAATGCATTAAAATATAATTTATTTGTATAAAAGTATTTTATAAGTGAACATAAGTATGTTTTTCTTCTGTAATCATATTAAAAAGGATAGAAAGAGGCGTGTGTGTCTGTCTACTTAAACACTTGATTTTTATAAATATTTTCTATTATAATTTCAAATCGAAAAAACCGTTAACCTAGAATTTGATTTACACAAGAGTAGATAATACACAATAATTTTATCATGAATTTGACTTCTTATTTGATCAAAAGAAGTAAAACAATATTTTAACATAATTGGTTAATAAATATGAGATAATACTGAAATTGAGGTTTTGTCAAATTTATGTTATATAATTTAAAAATCAATTATTTCCTTATTTTTTCTAATTATGAATATAAAAGCAATATTTAAATAAAATATTGAAGTTAATAACACGTTCAAGAAAGCGTCCAAATACTTATTTGTGCGCATTAAAACATATCTTAGGATATCGTAGATTCTAAACTGGTTAGTTGTAAAGAGATGATCGATACATCAAATTATAACTGATAACATTGTCTACATCCTTAAATGGACAATTTTTTTATTAAACATTTAAATAAAAGTTATAAGACTTTGAAGATGTGTCAAGTTAAAATTTTTTCAAACAATTTCTTGTTGAATTATTTTATATAAATAATAATTATATACGTCTTAATGTAACGCAACTTATCGGAGACTTTTAAAATAGATTGTTAAGATAAATACATTAATAATAAAAATGTTTAAACGTAATGTTATTTATTTATGGTCATTTTTAATTTCGGAAAAGTTTTATTTGCACGTACTTTTAATCTGGCATCTGTGTTTAATTATTTTTGATTACTTATCTCAATTATTTGAAAAATTACTATTAGCAAATAAAAAAGAAAGAATAATACGTTGTACATGTTTGAAAGAAAACTTCAATAAGAAATTATAATTTTTAAATATTGTCGTGTAACATTAATTGACGTGTCTTGTTACTAAGAAAAAAATTAAATATTTACACTTGAAATGGATAACTTATCGAAATGAGTCACTACTGTATATTATTTACTATGTGAGTCATATTTTCACAATTCATAAAAATAAAAAATAAGAATTAAATTTGATACGATTACCCATCTAAATTATATAAACAGTGATTAATCGACATTATCAACATATAAAGAGCAAATAATTATAATTTAATAATTGAGTTATGTTAAGAAATTTCCAAGACTTAATTTTCGCGTGATTTGGGTTTCTTTTTTTCTAGAAATAATTATTGGATCTTCTATTACTCAAAAGTCGATAATTATTAAATGATGGATAACTATAAAATGTTTCATTTATTAAAAATCAATTATTTTGTTATGTAAAATTGATAACGGTCACTGGTGTTCTAGTAAGACGTAGGCGGTTAAAAGTAAGGTAGCCAAAATCTTCGGGGGTGCTAAATCTAATTTCCCTTAATGAATAAATATTTTTACCGCTGGGGTCTAGAAAGGCTTAGTCATTATAAAATTAATTTTTTAGAATTTTATATGCATTGTTAGTTAAATCATATTTTAGATGAGGAAGTATTCAAATATATCATACTTATGATTTATGCATATTGCTTATACATTTTCTGAATTGTTTTTAAGCTGAGGGATTATTTCCTCTGATCCTAGACCTATGCATATGTTTTTAATTGAGCTAAATTTAAAAGTTATTAAATTATTTTAGAAATTGAATACATAAATTTACATTTTCAAACTAATTCTGAAAACTTGATTTTATTTAAATCATTTTTTAATCTCGATGAAATTTATTTACTGATGATTTATTTTTAAATATATACTTATGAATAATTTATTGAAATACATAATCCTTTTAACAGGGTTTAAAACCGTCGTGTAACCGTTATTATAAAAAAATGATTATGATTGATACAAGTATACTGAATTGGTCCAACAAATATAAGGGAAATAAGTGATATCAAGTAAAACTTAAAATTTAGATTATTTTGAAGAATTGCGTTTTATTAATGAAGATTAATACATGGCATACATATCTCAGTAAATTATTCCTATTTGTTAATATTTTAATTCGTTTTTCTTTAAACTATAGACAATTTTAATATAAGATCTTTTCCATTCTGACAAAAATTCTGAATCGTAGGTATAGATTTTTTATAGAGCTAGTTATAATATATAGAAGAATATATAAACTTCAATTTCATTATTTTATATAAATTGATTGTATGCAAAAAAAATAAATGTAATGAACGATTAAATCCCTTACTATTCTATAAAGCCTTCGTAAGAACATATTTATAAAGTGCATTAAAATATATGTTTCAAGAAATAAACTTAATATTCATGAACATTAAAATTTTATTTCTCGAAACAGTTTAAATTTTTTGATTTCATATATCCTTTTAACTCGATTTGATTTCAATTACCAATATCAAACTTCATGAATAATGCCAAAGTTACAAAAATGTCAGTTAACAGTTATTTGCTACAATGGTGCAAAATCGTTTCAGAGAATAATTTATAATAAGTTTTTTATTTAAAAATGTTAAAAATAATTATTAAATAAATATTTTATAGATTTTATGTGTTTAATTTTTCAGAGAATCATTTTTAACATTTTCCCACCATTTCCAAGTGCTAATATTTTTTGACCATCCTTAACCGTCTCTCCCAAAAAAATATTCTAGAAATGCCCTAACTTAATACCTGCATACATAACAACTATTGGCCTGGGGTTACATTAAGAACCTATCCGCTTATAATTGCTGGGAAGTTATTGTCATACCTTATTCAGTAATACACGCTATATAAATAATTTATAATTATTTAAGATCGCAGAATCATGAATCTTCTTGTTAACCTTCACATAAACTCGCTTTAAATATAGTAGGTACTCTTGAAATAATTCTTTATTTTGTTACTGTAATTTCTAATTGATCAAATTAAAATATATATATATATATACCTGTTGAATATTTATAAAATAGTTTAATTAATTATTTGTGTTTTTAATAAAGTAATGAATAATAAAAATCTGATATATAATTGAATGTCTTACCCTGTTGTGTAAATGAAAATACCGTTTATAAGGAATTGATACTGATACTGTTAATTGATTGTAATGCTACACAGTTGTTTTTGTCAAGGTTAATCATATAATTTTTTTTTGAAAATATTTAGAAAGTTTTATTATAAACATCATTTTGACAATATTGTCTTTTAACTTTTTAAAAGTAGTTAAATATTTCTTATTTGAACATCTGAATACTAGATAAGTTTTTACCTACTTATATTTTCTTATCATAGTAACTATTTAACCAAAAAAATGTTACACTTATATTTTCTTCTAGTTTATATAATACATTGACTGTTTTATGATTTTTCAACTATCATTTAAAATATGATAAATATTAATACAATAACTTGTTCTTGAAAAATATAAATAATTATTTATTTTCTTTTTGAAAGTTGTAAAACGTGTCGTTACAATAATTAACAGTAATGTTAATCTTCTTTAAGGAACCACTTAAACGTACACGAAGTAAAAATCACGATTTGAATAAACTTAAAAAGAATGTATGAAAATGTTTCATATGGATAAGTATCTTTTAACTATCACTTGTACCAGTTCAGAAAGCACAACCGATTTATAGATAGTTTATTTATAAATAATAATTTTAAGGTCTATAAAAAGAGAGGCTAAAAATATCAATTCATAATCATGACAGTAGAATATATTATACCTAATATATTTATAAAAAAATAATATAAATGAAAAATAAAAAACGTATAATTAGTTTAATAAGTCAATCATAAACATTCAATAAAGGATAATTCTTAATTTTTATTTTAATATCATTTAAATTTAAGTTTAGTGTTCATAAAAAGTTTTTTAAAGTAAAATCCTAAAAAATAATTAAAGGATTGCTGTTTAAATCATTACTATAAAATAGATTTAAATTTACTTCTCGGTAAATCACTTGTAATTCAAATTTTTAAATAATTATTTTGTAATGCATGAAAAATATTCGTATATTTTATTCTTAAATTTTAATCTAACTTCAATGGCTTTTATGGAATATACGGATGTGACACTCCCTTTCAATAAATAATACTGAATTGGCAATTATATAAGTTAAAGAATGTCATACTAGATAAAAATCTTCAACTTATAAAAACAACCAATTTATGAGTGACAAATCAGCAGTCTAATATATAACAGTCATCTCCCCACAAAAAAAAAATGTAAAAATTAATTAAAGATTATTTTATGGGATTTATAAATTAAAGTTATATATTATATTATATATCCAATTTACTGTTATTTCGTTAGTTTACTAGAAATTTCCTAATTATTTTGAATTTTAGTACAAAAATGATGCAATTAAAAAAATGTAGTTTTACAAAAAACGTTAATTAAAACGTTTACAGATTAAGCGCACTTAAAAAGTTTTTTTTATTCTGTCTTTTCTATTGCAAACAAGATGAATGTTTTCAGTTTATTTATAATAAAAACAAAATTAGAGTTTTTCATACTAAGTGATAGTAAATTAACTAGCAGTTTATAAGAAAATAAATTACTTTCTTGTAGATTTGACATTGGTAAAGATGGATATCTAGACTTAGAAGAACTAAAAAGAATGATGGAAAAATTAGGCGTACCACAAACACATTTAGCCTTGAAAGCTATGATCAAAGAGGTAGACGAAGATGGCGATGACAAAATTAGTTTTCGAGAAGTAAGACGACAATTTCATAAATAAAATAACTCATTATATAACCTGAGAGACTAATAAATAAATAATATTATTTTAAATTACAAGGATATCTATTTTTTTTTTAGTCAGAATAGTGGTTTTTTATTAATTAATATATTATTGCTTTTGCTATTATAAATTATTAAATATTTTTATGCATTAGTCATATTATGCTTGATACATGAAAATATCAAGTCAAATAACATATTATGTATTATATCGATTAACTTTTTGAAGTTACGAAAGAATAATAGTTTTAATAAATATATTTGTTTTAGTTTTTATTAATTTACCGTAAAGCATATGATGGCACATTACCTCTAGACTGTGGCCTGAATGAGTTGGCTAGATTAACTGAAATCAATGTGGATGAAGTTGGAGTTATTGGTGCCAAAGAGTTCTTTGAAGCAAAAGTACTGATACTTATATCTCAATATAAATTTTTCTATACCTAGTTCTTGTATAATTTTTAGGAATTATATAATTAACTATACAATTTACAATTATGAATTATAAATAAACTTTATACATTTCAGATTGAATACCAAGGAATTGCGAATAGGTTTGAGTATGAATTGAGACAAGAAATGGAAGAAAAAAAAAGATTAGAAGATGAAAAATCCAGACGAAAAATAGCATTTAAAGAGAAGACTGCCATTTTTCAATAAAAATTAATATTATAAGTTTTCCTATTCACACAATACACTGATATAGTTAATGTGTGTTTAAATAAATGATTATTTTAACATGATTGTAATTTTCAAATCTTAATTATAACTTATTTTTATATTTTGTATGATTTATTAAAATCTATTCTGAACAAAGATTATTAGAATAACTTAGTGTTTTGTTTTGTAATTATAGTTTGTATGATTTTGTTTTGTAAATTTAATACAGTCTAATGTCATATATTATTTAACTTAAATAAAATGTAAATTAATATAAGAGTGCATTTTCTTAACAATATATCTTTAATATTTTATATTCCTTCAAAGTTATCTAAAACTAATTTATTTATAGTTTACTTAAAACATACTAATGAAAAGGTTACAGACATTAAAAAAGTTATAATTTTCATAACCTAGTATATATATATATATTTATCTTTATTACAAAAAAGCAATTTTTTAATAGTTTCTTCTTAGATAATATAAAGGGAAGAAACTATACTTAATTTTTATATAATTTTTGATTCTTTTTTCTTAATCATTGAATTTCATAATTTAGCAAAAAAATAAGTAAATAAATAATAGTAATAAAGTAAAATTAAGTAAATAAACAATAGTAATAAAGTAAAATTAAGTAAATAAACAACCATAATATTACCTAAAAACTCAGACTTTTATAACATAAAAATTTGAACAGATATAGTAAAAATTTTAGAACAACTTTAGCACTTTTTTTTCCTTTTACATTGAGACTCAATATTATCCAATTCTCTGAGATTATTTTCATTAAGATCTGAATCATCATCTAGAAAATCTAATATACTCCGTTGGCTTGATTTTTTATTTTCATTCTATAAAAAATTATTTCATTAATATAATATTTTCCAAAAAAATAAAATAAAATGAACTTACAATAACAGTAGTACTATCATCTTTGAAGTTATCTTTACTAAGTCCTGCTTTATTCAAGACATTTAATTTAGATTGAATTAAAGGCCATAAATGGTCATCTGCTGTTCCTTTGGCCAGTAAATATTGAATAGTTACAGCTTCTGATTGACCAATACGATGGGCTCTATCTTCAGCTTGGGTTAAAATCTAATTTAAATTGGAAAAATATTACTTTGAAATTAGTCTTTCAAGAATACTTGATAAAACATAGATCTAATTTTTCTTATTATAATAACTTTTTATTTTTTTTTGTGAATATGTGACATATTTTTGTATCTATGAGTGAAATATATTTTAAGAAACAAATTTTTTTATTTGTAAAGTAAACATCATATATAATCTACAAACTAAATTCTGCATATTTTATAGGAAGAAGATAATTGAAAAAACTTATTATTTGTCTAAAAACCATTTCTCTTTGCTTTCAAAAGTTTTAATGATAAATTATTATTTATAATAAATTAAATTATGTTAATTAAAAACGCTCAAATTGTACTAAAATAATAATATTGTCTAGAAGCTAAAAATTAGTTGAAAACAAACAAAAATTAAAATACTTACACCAGGATTCCAAAATAACTCTGCAAATACAACTAAATTTGCAGCAGTTAAAGTGATACCAGAATTGGCTGCCGTTATAGATAAAACAGCAACTCTAAATTTATCTTCACTTTGAAATTGATCACAAACCGATTTCCTTTCTTCAGAAGATGTTCTGCCATCAATTCGAATATAACTAATAAATAAATAAGAATAATTAAAATTATACTTGATAAGATTCTCAACAAATTTCAAAGCTTTGATATAATATCAATAATTGTGCCAAATATTTTAAAGGTGATATGTCAATTTTTGCATTTATTTTAAAGATCAAAAACAAAATTAAAATTTCGACAGTATCTTATGTCAATCAATATTTTTGAAGTGCAAAATTTAAACATTTTTGTTATAAACTTTTTGACACGAGACGGGAAATATACTTCTTAATATACATAATAAACAAATTTAAATAATAATAAATTATAAATTTAAAAATGAATTTTGTGACTTATCAGCTTTTGAACATAAACTAATGAAATATATATCACTATACTCAACCAAATATTTAAAAATTTTAATATCTAGAATTTTCACAGTCTAAGGTGAAAATAAATTTTCTACTAACATTTTATTTAAAACCACACCTTTACAGAATACTATATTTTTATATATTAATGTTTAATGTACTGTCTAAATTCAAATTACTTGGGCTAATGACAAAACATACATAGGCTAGTACAGCATAATAATAAATATGAAGGGTACACAGAAAAATAAAGTAAGTTAATTTTTTGTGAACTGAGAAAAACTAATTTTAAATTTCAAAAGTCGTGTTATTGTATCATACACCACAACTTTCAAGAACTTTTATTTTTGAATAATCCACTCTTTTTCACTAGTTTAGAGGTTTTTAAAAAATTCATTATGAGATATAGAATATTTTTTCACCAAAGTCTCAATTTTTAAAAAAAATTAACTACGCTTATTTTCTGGTCACCCTTCATGTATTCTCAAAATTGTGCAAAAAGTGCCATTAGTAAACATTTTTTTATTTATTTATTTTTATAACAATAATTTAAATTTGAAAAATTGTATAAATGCCTAAAATATTTTTGATTCATGAGCAATTAACTATTAAAAAATATAAAACTACCTTTTGTTTTAAATTTTAAAATCACTTTTCGTGTAATGGTAATGATATTCATTGTATAAATTTTCATATTTTTTGAAATAGCAAAGTGAATTTTTTTTTTTATAAAGTGACAAATTAGTACAAAAAATACTACAGTATCAATATTTTTTGAGAATTTTAATACTTAATTATATGAATATTCTTACTATGTTTGATTTTCCTCTAAAATCTTGCAAATACCATTCATTACTTTTTGATGATGAGCAAATACCAGAAATTTTTTACCTTCTTTTAATAAATTTATAATGTAATCACTGTTCAAAATATATGTATAAAATTTTAGATAACATAGCAAAAAATAAAAACTAATTGAATATAATAATTTACCATATTGCTGGTAACTTAGCATCACCAGTATGATTAAAATATTCTAATAAAGCACCACGAACTTGCATTTTCCTTAAAGATTTATCATTTAACATTCCCTCCAAATTGTCCATATTCTCTGTACGATTTTTTAAATGACAAGAGTCTAAAATAACAACATTTCTGAAAAAAAGATATATATATATTATATATATGTAAAATATTCAATAAAAGTATAACTGTAATGCTATGTAAATAAGAATGTCTCGATTTAATCATAACACAAAAAAACAGTTCTATTCCTTTTTCCTTAAAATTGTATTAACTATAGTTTTTTTTAACAGAAATATACATGAATGTGTTAAACCTTTCATGGATTGTCTTATTTCTTGAAGTTATTAAGAATGTTCCATGTTTACAGTTAAGTCCGAAACGTCAGAACTCAACTGTAAACATGAATACATCTTTAAGCACTTCAAGCAACATAAATATATATATTAAATTGGCTTAAAAATAAAAAAATGATCTAACTAAAGTAATATTTGGTAAATAATAACTTTTGAACCATTCTTTTTAAAGATGTATTTTTATATTATGCATCAAAATAAACAAACCTAAGCTTTACATTAATTTTTTATTTTGAAGTATTAATAACTTTCGAAATACTGGGTCAAAAATTTTTTTCAATTTGTCAAATCTAACTAAACATTGTTTAGTAAAATCATTTTCTTGTTAGTTATCCAGTTAAGCAGGTATGTTTCTTCTAAAAAAACTAAAAATAATGCAATTTTAAAGAGGAAAGAAAACAGGATAAAACTATTATACAGAGTGGTTAGTAAGTAAAGAAACAGGTCAATTGTTATAAAAAATGAGAACAATAGACACCCGTTTCCTTACTTCCTAAACACTCAATATTATTCTATAGTATTAGATATATTTTTGTGTTAATTAAAGTGTATAGGAAACTAACAACTCCTAAAAAGAAAAAAAGGAATTTTTATGTTATACATTTGAAGATATTGCTTGATAAATAGTTAGCAGATACAAATAACTAATCTGATCATGGATTAATTTGTGTGTATTTGTTTTCAAAGTGTAGACAAAATTAATTTGTTAACTGTTTATTAGTGTTAGTTGCTTATAAATTTACATATACGATTAATATATAAAAGAACACTATGTAGTAACATATTTAGTGGGAAGATCATGGGAAAAAGGATATCAAAATTATCATGACAAAGTATTGATTGAAACTTTTTTGATGGCCTTTATGGATATAAAAATATTTACTGGGCATTATTAATAAATAATAATTCTAATACCTGACTTTTTGAGGTAACTGTTTTAAAACATCGGTTTTTAGACGACGAATCATAAATTGAGTCTCGAGTAATACTTTTAGCTCTTTCATGTTTGATGATCCACTAAAATCCCAACCATATTTTGCTTCTTGACCATTACAGTAACGTTTACCATATTCAATTCTACATAATTATTAATCATTATTAAGCATAAAAAAATAAAATAATGAACTGTATTGCATATAATTTTATTATATTCTAAGTAACCCCCAATTTTTATATATTTTTTTTAATGCTATATAATTACAGAAGATTACATTTGTAGGACGAGCCAAGGTGTTATAAGACAATTTTAAATTAAAATGATTTTGAATAAAAAATATTTCAAGTTCAACTCTTTTATTGACATAATTTAATTTTTTTAATTAAAAATATATATTATGCTATGATAAGCATATTAATGTAATTTAAAAATCTGAATTTATACTAAACAATTTAAAAATTTTAAATGACTCCTCTCACAGTTAGAATTTATTTAAGCCACTGGATTTCAACTTCTACATTTAAACGTGGATAACTTAGTAAAAATTATTTATTGATAGGGACATTTACAAGGTCTATGTATTCATACTAAATTTAATGATAACAAAACATAGAAATAATTAATCTTTAAAATTTTTTGAAAATCATGAAAAACTTTGGAAAAATTTTACAATTACAAATAAAATTAAATAATAGGTTTGTTAGTTAGATATTAAACTGAAATTTAAAAAAAAACAGTGAAAGAAAAATGGATTAACAACTAGAATTTTTCATAATTTGTCATTTTAATTAAATAATAAGATTTTTTTTATATCCATTGTAAAATTAGTTTTGTTACTTTCCAGCACAAATAATTAAAAATAAATTTTAAGTAGTAATTTAAAACTTATGTTTTATTACGGAGTCATAAAATTAGAACGTGTAACAGCCTTTATCTGAGAATATAGTTCCATAGGCCTGGATAAAGCCGGTGTACCACTCAACAATATACATCGATTAGATTGCATAGCTAATGCAAGAGATACTTGGGTCCGAGCAGTTTTTTCATTTTTTAAGCTATGGCTTTCATCCTAAACAAAATTAACAAGCAGTTTTAACATATAATTTATGACTATATAGAAAGAATTACCAAAATAATAACTCCAAATTTTAATCTCATAAGTAAATCTTTAGTTTTGGTCATCAAATCATAAGAAGTTATTACTACAGCTGGATTAATAATATGTTCATTAGCTTTGGACAGCACATAAATACTTGGAATAGGTATATTTGGCATTCTAATACGAATTTCTTCTTCCCAAGTATACCTTCAAAAATATTTTTCATATATTATGAATATACTTTTTAAAATTAAAAATATATCTAAATTAATTTATTAGGTATATCTTTAATTTTAACAAATATTAGCCACAAGTGATCAATCCTCATTATATTTAATTATGTATAGTTTAATAAAATAATGTTAATAAGGAGATATGAGCTAAGGTTATTTTAAAAATATGATAGAACAATGTTGTTATTACACTAATTTGGAGAAGGTGAAAATAATTTAAGATTGTACAAAATCTGAGAGAGTTAAGATAAAAAATATTTCACAGTATACAGAGTGATTTTTTTTATTATAACCTGCTCGATTACTCACAGAATAAAAATAATTTCAACATTCATCTTTTTGATTACTTTTAGTTACATATTATTCTTGAATTAATAGCTATTTAATACTTTTTAAGTTGCTTTGTAAAAATGCAAACTTTGTTTTTTCAAATGGAAATACATTTTGAAAATAATAAAATGTTTGATGTTTTATTATAATAGTTAATGGCATTTGAATTTTTATTTATTTTTTATACGTTTTCTGTATTCACAGTCTATGTCTTTATAAATTTTATTTTACAACAATGTGCCTTAAGACCAAACTTAAAGCATATCTGAAGATAAAGTCATAATTGACAATAAATGTACAATAGTTTTAAATAATTATCAGTCTTAAAATGTAATAAAAAAGCTAGATACATTGCATGTTGTCTGTTATAAAATACTGCAAAAATAATAGCTGATAATAAATTATGTAACTTTTTAATATTACTAAAATCAATTACATAAAAATAGAATATATATTTATTATAAAAATAATAATTCAAAATTAACAATTTTTTAGTGGAAGAATTTCAAGTCACTAACTAGTATACGTAGAAGAACAATAAGAGGTGCTTTTTTCCTCTATTAAAATAGAAACTGCGATAATAATTATATAATGTAATTGAATCTGGGGCTCAAGTCTAAAAGCGTCAATCGAAAAAATGTTTAAATGACCACTATAAAAATAAAAATTACATAATCTTCAAAGATCATGTATATTGATAATACTCCTAAAACTAAATTGTAAAGTTATTTTATTTAGACCCAAGTCCCAGAAATATATTTACATACTTAAAATATATAAACTTTGATCTAACCTCATACTTGAAGGACACACAATAAGTAAAGGAAAATTATCTGAATAATACATAGCAATACCAATAGCTTGTATTGTTTTTCCTAATCCCATATCATCTGCTATAATGCATCGTCCATTTTTTGATACTCCAAATCTAAAAAAAATTATTACACATTATCAACATGAAAATAACAATAAAGTACTAATTTTTTTCAAATAAAAGAGTATTAAAAATCAAATATACAGCTTACTAAACTTACTGGATTCCAGTTTTTTGAAATGGGTATATATTATTAAGCATTTCTGCATTTAAACAACTTAAATCAATTTTTGAAATATCTTGTTCCTTCAAATTATTTTCTTTTATCATCTATTGATATAAAATATATCATTAAAAATATAACATTTAAACAATAACTAAAGAGATCTTATTTTACCTTTAAAATAGAGTATGGTAACTTTTCTATTTTTACAGTTGGCTCAAGACATTTTATACTTTGCATAACCAAATCATGATCTTTAATTAAAAAAGACCACTGAGATGATTTTGGATCTAAAATTTTTAAATAGACCTCATTAATTAAATACCATAAATAATACATCAGCATTTTTTTTTTTTAAACTTGCCATATGATTTACTGGGAATCGTTTTAAAAATTTCAATGAGTTGTTGATGATATATAACATGAACTATGAATCGTTCTTTTGAAGTTATTTCACAAGAGCCTCTTACAGTTTTAGAATTAGTAGTAACCTTAGATTTTTCATTATTTACATTATAGTTTATATGCATTGCTTTAGCTTTTGGTGATGGAGATAATACCAATCCCACATTTAATGGTTTATAACGATTTAATTTATTTGGCTGTAACTGAGTATTGATATTGGAAAGACCTGGTAGTGAATTATTAGTTGATAAAAAATTATTTTTTTGGCTAAACTTTGCAGCTAGTTTAGCTTGGGCTGCCTTTTTGTTTTCTTCAATCATTTTACGCTGTTCATCAGTTAAAGTTGACATATTGGTAATAACTGATAGAACTGTATATACAAAATAGATGACTAAAAAAATACACAGAACAAATAAAAAAATAAGCATTTATAAAAAAAGTTCCTTTTTTGTACAAATGTTACATATTAAAAGTATATATGCCATTTTTATCTGAAGAAAAATAACTAATGATATGAGATGTTACAATACTGATCAGAGTGATTAAACATTCTCTAAATAGTTACTACTTAATTGAACTTCTAGGAAGAAAATTTAAAAAGGAAATTTTCGGATATATAATATAAGAAGGTTGAAATTTAAAATATGTTGAGGTTTACAAAGTGAAAACTTTGTTTAAATTACATGCATAGAAAATAATTTATATACTTGCTTTAAAGCGAGTTTTAGTTATCAAAAGAAACAAGAAATAGGTAATCCTAGCTTAAATATAGTTTATTTATGATAAAGCTCTAAAATAAAATAGTTCATTTTATGTTGAACATAGATTGTTATGAAAGAGATAATTTTTTATGCATTAATAAAGGATATTAATTTAGTTAATATGTCAAATAAAATTATATAAATAATTAATTTATCGAAAATTTGTAAAAAATCTTTATAAATCATATATATCATAAAATTGAATTTTTTTTATCAACATTATAATTTATTATCTTATATAGTTAAGTAATAATAATTACCTTCTTTTATTATATAGTTTTTATTTTAAATAGTTACTTTATAAAACTGTATAAGTTAGAAAAATCAGTCAATACATAAATTCATTATAAACTATCACAAAAATAAATTTAATTTTTTTATCTAAAATTAAGGTGTAATATAAAATTGACTGTAGTTATTAAATTTTTAATATTGTTTATACATGTAATTTTTGTATATCTTTGAATTTCAAATCATTGATACGGTTTCCCTCCAAACAGCTGTACCAATACTGATAAGATAATGAAGTCACAAAAGTACAATGTTCTAAAGTAGTTGGTTCATTTAATTTATTATAATAACTATAATAATTTTAGTAATGTTAAAATAAAATGATAGATTTTTACTTTTTTAAAGATCAACTATTCTAAGATATACTAAAATATTGTTTCAATAAGATATCAAATTTCTTTAAAATAACCATAAATTATATATTTGTGAATACAGTGCCGTGCTAACTATCAGCTGCACTCTAGGGCATTCATAGATTTGGCTATTTAAAAACTCATACTGAGTATGTGTTTAAATTTCAATAAGCAAAGAGTTTGTCTTTAATTTTAGGCAAAAATTGGTTTAATTAGATTAATATCGGGGTTTTTTGATTTTATTAATCATTCAAATTGGTCCTGTGAGAGCTGAAAATATTCATGGAAAGACCAAAAAAATTAACTATTTCAACATTTTCTCAGCTTCGTAACCAAAATATATTTTTTTCTATTCTATTATATAATATGTTGATATAAAGTGATAGTTGTATGATTGCTTTTTGATTTAATTTCGGATTTTTCTTCAATCCTCGTAACATTTAGACAGCCGTGAAGTATAAGCTAATTGAAAAAAAAAATTATTTCATAGCGCAATAACGCTGATTTTTTAAACTATCACGGAGTGTTAAAAAAAATGTTCTGATCTTCGCAAATTACTTTTTCAGGGCAATGTCACTGAGCTCTTACATTGAAATTTATTTTTTGAAAATCGTAACTCGTTATGTAATTTTTTCAATATTGGCAAATTTTTTTTATTGTATAAAATTATAAAATTAAATGTTTATTTTAAAATACGCTGATCAATTAACATTTGTTTAAAAAGTAAATTTATAAGTTTTAAACCTAAAACCGATTTTTTAAATGGGTAATTAAAAATCAAATTATTATTAACGACCTGAATTAACTATGCGTTTTTATAAAATACTCAACAGATAAAAATTAAATTGTTTTAGTTTGATCACTCATTATGGTTTTAATTTTACAAAAATCAAGTTATTTTTTGGCAATGGCGTAATCAAAGGGAATAAAGGGGCTAAGCTTCCCCATTGGCAATTATTACGAGTGACGGGAAAGTTCGAATAGTAACTATGAAACTATTCGAACTATTCGATAGTCACTCAAAAACTATTCGAATAGTAAAAATATTCGATAGTTACACAATATATTCGAATAGTTTTAAAAAATATTCGATAATCTATTAGAATAGTTTTTAAAACTATTCAATGATATATGCTAAAAATAATCTATTCGGTTGTATAAACACAATTCGAATAGTTAATCGATGGTTTAAAATATTCGAAAATGCCCATCACTAATTATTACTATTAACAACAGAATAAGACTTTGGTACTAGTAAGACCAAGTGATAAGCCTTAAACAAAGTAAAAGTTCTTTAGCTCCCCCAGGCAATTATCTTAGCTACGCCACTGTTTCTTAGCAAGTTTTAATTTCTGTATATGTTCACATATTTAAAATTATTTTTGTCATATTCATGAGAATTCTAAAAGTTGTTTATTTTATTTTACTGATAATAGTTATCAAGTTTTAGGAACATAATTATTTTTTATATTTTTGCAGGAAATATCCAAATATTTCTTCTTTCGTTAGGAATTAGCAAGGTCGCATCATAGAGTATTACTCTATGGTAGTGATGGGCATAATCGAGATATATAATCGAGATATCTCGATTATGAAAATAATCGAGATATTTCGATTATTGAAATCATATCTATTATATAATCGAGATATTCTGATTTTTGAAATAATATTGATTATTCTATAATCGAGTGATTATTTCTAATGATTTCTCGTTTATTATAAAAACAATGATTTCTTGATCTTGAAATGTATATAATCGAATAAAAGTTATTTCGAATGATGTCCATGAAACGATGAAACGAGAGAATACTATTTTTAAGTTTTTATTTAGCATAAATTATAGTCGAATTATTATTAAATTGTTGACTTCGAGTCTTCTTATTTTCAACTCGTTCAATCGCTACTCATGACAACACCTTATCTGTCACATTTTTGGGAAGTATGTGACGATTAGAACAAAGTTTTGTCCTGAACTGGCTAAACTACTGAGTTCTGATTCTCTCACTAGTTGTGAATTTATGAAAAATCAATTAGGTGTGGAATCAGGTATTTTAATTATGATGGTCAAGCCGGCTATTGCTACCTTATCTTATGTTTTTATTTTTAAATTTGTTATCGGTTTTTTAAAATATAGGTAATAATTATTAAATAATAAAAATAACAACTTGTCTTTTATTTAAAGCACTTATTAATAATGCATTATTAATATATTATTGTTATTATTATTCCTAAATTATAGTTTAATATAATAATTATAAATAAACACCAACAAATAAAAAAAGCAAAATTAAATTAATAATTATTTACTATAGGTATATTTATTCATATTTCGAATAATTTTTCGATTCTCTCGATAAATAATAATAATTGATTATTCTTATCATACGAGCAGACGATTATAACTTCGAGTGATTTTTCGAGAGATTCACTCGATTATGAAAATGTCTCGATTACTAATCATTCGATTATCGAAATCATTCGATTATGCCCATCACTACTCTATGGGTCGCACACTACGTGATAACGGTGTGATTTTATTTATTTGATATAGCGCTATCTGTAGGTTATTTAGTATACATACAACTTACTTAGTATTTTATCAAAATTTTTTGTTATTCATCATAAGATCAGACGTTTTGAAAAGCAATATCAAGTTAATACACCTTAAAAATTTGTTTAAATATCATTATTAATATAATCTTATACATAGTAAATTACTTCTACTTGTTACAGTCATTTTTGTCTACAATGAACATAAGTTGTTCCATTTATCCGACACTCGTTAGTATATTTCATTTATACATAAATGGCTACACTGAAACTAGTTTCTGATTGGAAAACATACCAATATCTCGTTTATTTATTCACAATAATATACTTTTTATTAATGCGATTGCTCTCAATGATAGTATGCTGTGGAGAACTCAAAACAAATTTTATCGTTTAATTTATTGACGCTTATCGTTGCAATTTTTGTTACTTAAGTCTCTCTCGTTAATTTTTTATTAGTAACACTACAAAATAACGTTTATTTAAAGGCTAGATTTATTTTTTCTTTAACTGTGCGTTAATATGGAGTGGTGTTTCAATGACGCTGAGCGACCGTTAAATAAAATTATTTAGTAGATACAAACTGAAATTGTTGTTGATTTCAAATTCAAATGAACCACTTACTAAATTTAACATCAACAATTTGAGAACTAGGTACTAATATTTTTTAATACATTAATGTTTTTTCGATGTTTTGTCCACGATGAATTACATTAATTTACATTTGATGTGTACACTTTAAAGTATGAACTTTTTAACATATACTCACTGTTGTATAGGGTGATATGGCTCAAGATGTTTCTGAAAGTAAAGATTATGCATCTTCAACATTGGTAAGTCAAATATCATTATTAATACATTTAAACCAAAGATTATTCAAATACAGCGTTTGATTTACGAGGAACTAGTTTGAACTATGTATATTATACATATTTTACATCTTTTTACTTACAATTTAACTAAGCACGAACAGTTCTTATTTTCTTCATATCTATGAAATTTTTTTGTAACTTTATAAATGTGATGTTGACCATGTTTTGACATGGTTCACGGTATTAATATAAGTGAGAGTACAAGTAGTCTTATAAAATCTAATTATATATATTTTTTTAAATAGTGATTTTATTTTAATTAAATTTTTTTTAATTACAATTGTTCCATTTCAACTAATATTTTGACTTTCTTTGATACTTTTGGTAGAATAATTTATATTTTCATAAGGATATTTATTTACAATCATATGGGTTAATGATCATAGTAATTAAAATCATAATATAAAGTTAAAAAAAAAATTTTTGTTAGTGAAAAAATTAATTTATGTTAAAATTATAAATGTACATGTGTCAGATTTAGTAAATTCAAAAGAGTGTTGTTATAATATCATAACAAAAATATTAAAATTTATCACTTATCCAGATATTGACATATCTTAAGAAGAATTTATTTATTTTATTTTAATATAAAATGACATTTTAATCAAATTTTTAATTAGATATTTGTTTACAAATACGGACTTCATATATTAAAATGTATTTTAAAAACATAATTTATAAATATTTTGACTTAGTATTTTGGAAGAATTTATGATATATGTGGTGGGATTTGTCATTTTGGCATTTAACGAAAATTACAGTCTAATAATTTTATTTTCTGTCAAAAAGCCAAAATGCCTTACTGATGTGACAAAATTTCTTTCTTTATTCAATATTACATTAAATGTTTTTAATTATTGCAATCATGTAATAATTTGTTGATGGTATTTAGTTAAAGATTTCATACATTATTTTTCAATTAAATAATTCTAAAATAAATCTTCAATTGAATAATTCTTGTTTCAAACCTAATGGTTTTATTGAATCTTTGTAGTTACTACAAATTAAAATGTATTATTCTAGTGTAAATATTTTTTTTTAGATATTTTTACATAGAATGATTCTTTTAATACTAGAAATCAATTTCTCTAAAATTAATAATTATGTTAAAAAAATTATTTTTGGATTTTCTTAATTTCATATATTTTTTGACTTATCAACTATTAAATTGTATTTTAATTCATCCCTTATACATAATATGAGTGTCAACATTATTGTTTTAAATAACAACATACAAATTTATCTAGCTTATAAAATAAATAAAAAGATTTAGTGAAGAAATTTAATGGTAGATAACAACTTTAGGACCAGTATTTCAAAAGTTATTAAAATGTGTATACCTAGGCAAGAGAAGGAGTTATGGCTAAAAAATATCTATTGTTAAAAATTGTCCTATCCGCTATTTACCTCCATTCTAAATTAAAAAATTTTAATTACCTCTGAAGTATTATTTCAAAAGTTGTTATTGAACTGTCATTTTTTTATTAGATCATATTTTAGTTTGTAAGCCAGTTATATATGTATCTTTCATTTAAAAAAAATAAAGGTGACACCCTTATACCTTATTAGTGAATAATTAAAAAAATAATTAATAACTAAAAAAAACAAAAAATATACAAAACTAAAAAATTGCAAAAATAATCTTCTTAACATAATAATTATTTTTTATAGAAATTGAGTGGCTATAACATTGTGGATTGAATACATTTTATTTTTTCATGAAAATTTAAATTCCTATTAGTTTTATAAAATAAGTTGTTTTTGACAGATGTTGAAAAATTAATTCTTTGATATGATTTAAATTAAATTTTAACCAACTTTTTAAATATATTACTGTATATCAAACACTCGACTGTTCAAACAAGGACAAAAATTTGAGGTTATTATAAAATATGCTATCAATTTTTAAAGTAAATTTATTATTCTGATAGACGTTATTCACTTTAACGTTTATATTATGCTGTTTTATATACTTCGTAATGATGGCTTAAAAAAAAAAGTAGTAACACGGGCTTTAACACAATGAACAAACCTGTGTCCATTGTCACAATCGTCTAGAAAAAAATCCTATAAGTATATATTTTATTTGTATACGAGTTTGTTAAAGAAAATAGCCAGTGTATACCTATGACCATATTAAAATCGAATAGTACTGAGGTGGCCATGACTGTTGTAATCTAATATATCATTCAGGCCGGCGACTTTTCCAATTCTTGAAACTGGGTTCATTGTTGACCGCTTTTGGTCATTTATACTCATGTGTTTTTCTATTTACAATTTTCGTTTTAAAAATGTACCTATTTCATTTTTTTGTTTTATCTCAATCAAATAATTAATACTTATTTTTATCAATGAAACCGAAACACTGGTATATTAATTTGTTCATAGAGGCAATTAGCATGTTTTTTTCATTTTGTTTTATTCTTTATTGTTAAATATATTCCTTAGGAAATGAATGAAAACAGCCTTTTTGATGGTTGTTTCCGGGCTTTATTGTATTTTGAAATATTATGAGTATAAATTATCAAGACCCAGTGTCTAATGTGGTCACAATGTATGTTTCCTGCTGAATGACATTTGGACTAAGTTTGTCGCCAAAAAATAATGACGAGCGCCATCATTTGTGTACACTTTATTTGAGTGATTTTGACGACGTGGGTTTTGATATTTAATTTACCTACCTTGCACTTAATACATTTTTTATAAATACATGATGATAAAAAATAAATGCAAAATTTGTTTACCGTGATCAGTTTTGATGAAATCAATTTCAATGATTCTTTATCTCATTATATTAGGAGAGATTATACTTTTGTTTATTTCTTTTGCATTCGATTGCATAAAATTTCATTTCCATGTCTCCTTTATTCATATTCAATCACTAATATTTAAACTCGTATTTCCATACAAACTTTTTATATAATACTTATTGTAATTGTTTAATTCATTTATGTGTAGTTGATTATCAGTAGTGCAAATATTATCTTAAATACTTATAAACGCTCTACATATATACATACTTTTACTTTTTACTAGTTTTTGTCTTTCCTAATAACCAATTCAAGTTTCACTCATTAATATGTTTAGTGCTGATAGGCATCACTGACAACCACTTTATCTGTTGTGCTCGAATAGAGTGGGACTATTCGATTTTATGTGATGATGATAATAATCTCAGATTATTTAAGTATCGTATTATTAACTGATGCACTGGCTACTAATCTTTGTTAGTTTGTTCATATACCGTTGAATTTCACTTATCTTTATATTTAGTTTTATCCATTAGGTAGTAATGTTAAGTAAATCAAAACTACTTAATATTATTTCGCGTATTAAAATGCGGCATTTATAAAGATTGGCCTACTTTAATGATTTTGTCTTCAATTTTGACGATTCCAACGTTATTTTTAGGGAAATAAATCACAAAATTGCTCATACTGTTTTTAAACAATTTATTGTTTAAAATTGACATGTAGGTAGTTATATTGATAATTATTAATATTATTCTAGTGGGTAGTTGACTGCATGTATTTCGCAGTGACATCATACTTCAATTGTGCTAGGTTTAAATTTTTTAAGTCACGTCCATGATATCTCTGTGATTTGTCAGGCTTTCTTTTTATATGCATACTTTTCGTGAGCACGAACTGACCACCATCGCGTCGTCGACGTATGTCGCTGATGTCTTTATTAGAGACGACGGCTTAGGCGCTCCCCTGTGCTCAGATCGGCCAGTGTATAAAAAATCGTAAACAAAATAAACACCGTCACTCTCTCAGGATCGTAGTATATGACCAACATTAGACAAAGGTATCGTTTTATGTAGCAAAAATAATTTTACAATCCATTCTGTTTTTAAGGGAGCCGATTGTTAGTAGTGCCATTAACCGTATCAAAGCTACCGCCAACAGTAAAATGCCCATGAACATAATACATAGTAATATATATTTTTAGTGCTAATGTGTTTTTAAGTTTTAATTAAATAATCATGCTGTGGTCTTGGGCTTTTGATAAATTATCCCATCATTGTTTACCTTGAGTTATATCGACCAAATTATTCAGTATTATTTATGATTTTTTTTTTGTACTAGAAGTTAAATATTATTGTGTCAGTGATTTTTATGTAGTTTTTATGATGTTTCTTTGGTTTAGTTCCAAGTCTCATTCGAAATATGTTGTGTGGATATTTAGTGTTTGTTTTTGTAACTGTCATACTCCTACAGTCAATTAACATTTAATCATCATTATGTTAATATAATGTAAGTAGATATGTGCCATAAAAAATCACTAACATAAAAAACGAACTCTCTGAAAAACGGTGGTCGGTCGACGACAAATAATACCTACGTGTATTCCTAATCGTATCAATTGCGTTTTTATTGGTGTTTATTAGACTAAATGATAGCACGCGATTCATCTTTAATTATTTTAAATTGAGGAACGTATTGTACGAAAGACGATGTAAAAAATTTAATAAACAATTATGTTATTGTGGACGGCGACGCTGACCTTACATTTTGGTTGTATAATTTAACGATAATATCGTAAGACAGCATATTGAGCTTTCCTGACGTGAAAAAATTCGTTTTCGGAGTGAAAAAATACATTAAAATCGCGTTGATCTTAATAATTGTTAAAAAAAAAACTGTTTTAAAACGACGACCGGTCATCGAGCGTAGCAACTCGGGTATTGCATAAATAAAAAACGGCGTTTCGTTGTGAAAGATAAATCGGTTCTGTTGTGTCGGTGAGGTTTAATATCCGCATATGAAAGTGTTGCTAACATCCGGATGAGTATTATGGCCGATCGTTGTTGTGTTTTAATTTGCTTTGAGGCGCAAATCCGAAGATACCTGCGAATAACGGCGATAAACCAGTAAAAGCAGCGGTACCTTTCGCTCCGAACCCGTAGCCACAGACAATAATAACATGTAATAACCGTTATTTGGCCATTTAAAACG